TAATAAATAATATATATATAAATAAATAAGTTGAATATATCTATTAAATATAGATTGCATTTTGTAAATAAATGCATTATATTATAATTAGACATCGGATTTTTTATATGCAGATTGGTGGAAAAAAGCAATTAATAACTAAGATTATTTATATCTATCATATTTCTACTGCAACACATGTTAGGTATAAATATGTTGAATATTATAAATAACGAAATCTTAGTTATTATAATTGCTCTTTTTTACCAATCTGCATATAAAGAATCCGATGTCTAATTATAATTAATAAAATTTTATTAACATTTTTTTACAAAATTGCTTATTTTTATTTTAATGGAAGCTTCTTTTTATTCATTATAAGTTTTTTTAGAACTGTAGAAATTAGGATTGTAATATACAGGTAATATACGTATAAGGAAATTTTTTTATGTAGAAAAAATAAATAAGGAATAAAATGAGTAAACATGATGCTTTTGTTTTGTTTGTTATATAATACAATAAATTTTTTATACAAACAAAATAAACAAGGATCATCTAGCACGTATTAATTAAGAATCAGCTTTCGTTAATTAAAAACTTCTAGACAATTATCAAATTTTATCAAAACTTTCTTCTTATATTTTCTTAAATAAATATTAAATATTGTGAAAATTATTTATAGAATTAGTTAACACTATTGTAACATAAAATAACTTTCTAATATTGAGAGAGAGAAAGAAAGAGAGAAAGAAAGAGAGAGAGTTGACACTGTAACATGTCATGCAAAAGTGAATTAAAGTTTTAATATGATTTTTACGCATACATTTTATTACAATGTTTAAATCTAATTGGATTTTATTAAAAAATCTGATAAAAATTATAATAATTTATTATTTTTAATAAATGTACTCATTTTTTACACTTATAGTTCTTGACATATTAATAGAACCGATATTCAAACTATTCTACATATTCTCGGAGAGTCATCATTTACTCATTTTGTAAACAAGTATGGCGTCATCGCAATCTAGAGTCGCGTGGCATGTCATCCGTAAGATACCTGTAGAGTCGAGCTTCTGATATTTACATTCTACAAAAGCCCGGATCTACAGGGTAGATCACGAATGTGCCTATTCTTTGCAACCTTCCCTTGTCATTTCCACATAGTAGCAATCTGCAACAAAATTTTCGATTTAATATATTAATCTCATTTTACTTGTTTAAATCACATAACAACTTCTAGTCATAACAGCCAAAAAAAAGTGCAGGAATAGGAGAATTTTCAACTAATCAGATTTGATATGAAGCGCAAATAACGGACATGACTATTTAAAGCTGCGGCAGATTAAAAGTTTAGCTCTAGCCGCGCCAGCGTACGTGACGCCGGAAAACCTCCGCTGAAACAGGACGTGACCCGGCATGCATATCCGGGGTATGGTTAAAGGAAGTCGTGAATTATAATAGCGCCTACCTGACACGATTACCTTTCCTCGATTTTAATACTTGATTTAGCGCATTGTGCTTCGTATCATGATCATCTATACATCATTCACATCAGAATTGTTGAAATTTTTCAAACTTTTTGATATTATTTTTTCCGAATAATATAATATGGATGTTGAGTATTTGTTACTCAAGTATATAATTTTGCGTATATACTTTTACTCACGTGTCGTCGTGTTTTGATGCTTTTGTATTTATATACGAATAACATGAGGGCCAATGCTTAATATCCTCTTTGAATAATAAGAATATAGACCAAATATTTATATTTATAGCGTGTATAATTTATCAATCATTTCATATGTATTGGCATTGAATTCGATATGGAGACGCAGGGGGGAAAGAGGAGAGTGGAGGATATGCATGGTTCTAAAAGTGAAAACGTAATTTATAAAAGGAACTGAGGTATAATTTTATAATTTATACAAGATAGATAAAATGATTTATCTAACTACATAATAACTACTCTTGCTGTTACGAAAACTTTTCTATTGACAATATTATAATTGTACAAATATAAATATGCGTCATAATAAATATGGATGCAATAATATACGGGGTACTAACCACTTGTCCATCAAAGCTAATATACTAAAAAGTTGTAATTAGACAATGTTCATGAAAGAAGATATTATTAAAAGTGCGAAAAGACATGCCAGTAGAAACCATGCTTGAAATACAAATAGAAGGCGAATAAAACTATGTGTACATACATATACACGTGATTGTTACATACATATACGATATTTGTTTACAACAAATATATGTTGCATACAATAAAAAGTTTAGAGTAAAAACGATCATGCGAAAATATAATTTTCGGAGATATTCGTGCGCAAAAGTAATATCTGTCTTCGGAGTGTAACATTAAACCATCGCAACGCAATCCGTTAATTATAAATACACATTGAGAATAATATACGACACAGTGTGAAATGATACAAAATATATTTCTATAATCTGAGCAGACGAACTCACATTCATGCACATTTAATACACATTTAGCACGTTAGCTCTTGACGGAGCGGTATTAGATAATTGTTATTAACAAACTGTACAAATTCGTGCGTGAAGGAGAAAGACACTTGAACCGCTCGAAAAACACTAAGAGTTTCCGCAGTTTGGCATTATTTCACGTTCGATTGATCCTCGAGGTCATCCGAGGTCGATTTCAGTTTGTCACTAGAGCCTCGCGTGCCAATCAAGTTTGTCAGGCGTGTAAAGATGACGAAATTCTGATGGAACCAAGTTTTCTTTCAAATTTGCAAGGGCACACAGGGCAAAAGTACGGGCCAACGCCCCTCTAACGAAACGCTGTATACCGTCGACTGTCCTTTACGACTCGGATACAGAAGATATTCGGCGACAAGCGAATCCTCGAGTTGCGGGGCGTCTCTCCCACGGCTGCCCGGGTGAAGCCAGGGGCTTTCTCCGGATTCTGCGATGATTGGACCGCACGCACCCTCACTCCGGCACGGGGGATGCCACAGCACAGGGCCGTAGGTTTGCGCGGTGCCTCCGCAACTCGAAATTTCGGTTCTTAGCAACATTTATCAATTCTATTATTACCGAGAATCTAAATATTAGAACGATTCGTCGAGTTGTATTTGTTTTTGTAATCAAATTTCACTTTAAAATCAAAATTTTTTTATAATGATCACTCTCTTTTTTCTTCCCTTCTATCTCTTTTATCTCCTTTATCTCCTTTATCTTCTTTATATTTTTGCTAACAAATTACAGTTTTATTTCAGTAAAAATTTACATTATATTCCGAGAAAAATACATTGCTCATTTCTTTCTTCTTATTAAACTTTATTAAGCTAACAAGCTGTCATGGACAAATAAGATACATTTTACTTGAATAAGATGTATCATTGTGCTTATTCTATGCATATTTGTTATTTTTATGTGCAGAGTTCATAAGTAACTTTAGCACATCAATCATATAATTGAAAACTTTAAAAAGTTAAATTTCTTTCTTGAAATATTACAAAACTATTAAACATTGATTCATAATCCTCAACATATAGAGAATTGTTATATTAGTTGCTAGTTGATGTATTGATTATTGTTAGCTGATGAAAGATACAACCTCATATACGCACGTATTCGCCGAAAAGCCAAACCTACCGAAAACAGTTAAAAATATATGCGTAATAATCTGTCGCTTGTACGCCAATCGATAAAGCTTTCTATATCATAGAATACACTTGAATAGTGAAAATTTAAATAAATCTTGAACCATCAAGAACTATCGATGAAATGGAAAAAGATAATTCCATAAGTGTATACACGAGATACGATACATTTATCACCTCTTTATGACAATTACGTTTTTGTGTTTAAGTTAAATTATCGATATTGTGCAAATCTCTCTATAAGTAATATCTAAATATTTCTTAGAACGTTAGTTTACATCTTAAAAAATTTTTATTTATTTTTTTTTTTGCGAGAAAAATATTATTGGATTATTTTAGCATGACTTGCATGGGCATGGCGGTCGATATTAATTTGTACGAGTGGTAATCGTCAGACGAGTATCTATAGCGAATGGCAAACGTTAAATGTTACTTAGATCACATCGACGCGAAACGGCAAAAATCATGAGCACAGTCTTCCTGATAAGTTTATCAACGTTGGATGGAACCGATCGCACAGCCGTCCCTGCGCTCGTTGACGTTCGGTTCGAGTCGTGCAGTCTCGGCCCGGGGTCCCTGTCAACCGCCCCGCTAGAGAAAGAGAGATGCAAAACCTAGGGGCCACCCTTCGTCTCATCATCTTTTCGCGCTCATAGCTGGGCATATCTGGTCTGAGCCAGGCCTGCTCTCCTCTCCTCTGCTTCTCGAGGAATCGCCTGGAAAAGGTCCCTTTACCTCGGCCCCTTTCCGCTCCCCACGAGCACCAAAGTCTCCCAATGACGTAGCTTCCGTTCCTTCTCCGTTCTAGAGCGACGTATTGATCGTCTCTCTGCTCCTGAAGCTGCGGAGGCTGACACGAGAGGGAAACGAGAAGAGTGGATAGAGAGAGAGAGAAAGAGAGAGAGAGAACGTGTCTATGTCGGAGGGTGAGGGTTGTGCCGTAGAGCGTGCCTCCATCGACGCTTAGCGACGGAAGGAGACGGAGGAGTTAGCCGTGTGTGTATGTATAACGGATAGAAAAAGTTAAGTAGAAGGAGAAAGGACACGCAGCTTGCGAGGGGGATGCTTAAAACGGCGAAGGAGTCGAATCGCGATAAGATAGAAGAATCAAGCAGATAGCGATGAGCCGTTGCACGCCTTTTCCATCAAAAATATCGTCGGGATGAAGGGATGAAAATAATGAAGCGCAAAATATGAAAGATAAGCGACGAGCGATAAAGAAATCGTATAAAATACTTTGTATGTCTGTGATACAAGTATAGAAGACGGTTCATAAACGTGAAAATGAAAAAAAATTACTTGAGATCGATCAAAGTTGAAAAAAAAAATATATTTAACGAGAATAATGAAACGGAGAAGAAAGAGAGCAATGTTGTCCAATATACTTTATTTGAAAGCAATTCGTAATTCTCCTTGCGCAGCACATATATTAAAAGTCTTTCTAGCACAATATTAAGTAAATCAAAAGTAGATAAAGAGACGAGGAGCAATTAATGCACGCTACATGCTAGAGAATTAAAATTACACAAAGGAGGATTTGGGATCTAACTCGATAAATCGCAACTGTACTATTTGTCTCTTCATAACATCGGCCCCATGTCATATACTATTCAACCACCTTTCCACCTGTCATTCTCAACTCACACGCAATATGTCTTCCTAAAGTTTGCTTACGTCTCATCATCGGATAAAGTTGCGAATGTGGATGAATCTCTGACACGAACATGAGGATCTCTGCCTCCTGATCATTTTCGGAACTTTGAGCAGGTCTTCGTTAAACCAATCAGCTTACACTTCGTAGAGACTGACTAGACACCTGGACAGAGATTAATCATTAAATGCATGGCTTAATTCGCGCATAACATAGTGGTCAATTAATAATACCTTTCACTGTTCATCACAGAAACTTATTCCATACATAATTGCAAGAACAGTAATTCGGAACAGTAATTTTGATTAATTTTTCAATATTCACGTATATATACATATTTTTTTTTTAGTAATAATTAAACGTAGGCTAAATAACCAAAAATATATTTGGCCATCGAGCAATGCGTCTGCGTTCCCAGACACCATTTACAGGCAAACCGTAATATAGTTCACGCAGTGTAGCTACGTATTTATTGATTAATTCACTGGGGGTCATTGCCATAAAAGACCGCTTAGTCCAGCGCGACAACAGAGAGATAACGTATTGACAGATAAAATTTAACAGTGAGTTTTCTAAATACAGCGCTGACACAGTATTTTAATTATATTACAAAAAATATATCTTGTGTAGGTGCAGTACTCATACCTTCGCAATTATAATGTGCTATGTAAAATAAACTATTTTACATAAATATTTTTAAATAAACTTCAAATAAAAATTTAAACGACGCAATATGTTAATTCGGTTAGAATATATAATACAATCAATTGTCTCTATACAAATATTAAGAATTGAAAAAAATTATCTAAAAAGCGAATACCTTCTGCGAGATTATTGTTCGCAAGCGTATCCCGATCGCGCCACACTTGCACGTTCACGAAGAAGCGTTGGTCTTCGACTGACACCATGTATCGTATCGTGGAATGTTTCAGAAGCAATGGACGTCCGAGAGGCATGCTTGGAATAATAATCCAGCCGATAGTCCGTGGATTTCCTTTTCTGTTCTTCGGCACGGCAACCGATTCGCATTCGTAACTCGCGACAAATTTGAATCTGAAATTAAAGTTGTCATAAAAGAATCGGCAACGTTTTATTCTATGTAAATCAAATTGCTCCATGTGACTATTACGTGAACGATTCAATAGCATCGATACCCAACTGAACTTTAATTTGTAAGAATAATTAGAAAGTTCAATATAATAATTAGCTCTTGTTCTTAAAATTTAAATTTTACTTATCTACTTTTGTATACTAATATAATGTTTAATATATAAAACTTATGTATATACAGATGCAACATAATTTTGGTTCCAAAATTGTAACTGTTTTCAGAATTGCTAATATGTTTACAAAAAAAAGTTCAGTAAATCGTACGCAGGTAGATTTTCTGTAGGATGAATATAAGCTGGCGTAATTAAAAGCTTAAACGATTAAGCTAATGTTATTGAGATGAATCTGAATTGAGGTGGGCGGGTTAAAGACTCTAACAACGAACTGCAATGCCGCCCACTATATTGAAATTTAGATACTTTTCGCTCCTGTCTTAAAAAAAAACAATGTCTTTGTCACAGTTACGGTAAACCACGCATACTGACAGAAATAATATTTAATTTTATTTAGGAAGCTTGCTTAAAAATATTATACAATTGCGAGTATTAAATATTATACGATCTCGCGTTCTTCACAACTTATTTAAAAATTAAGTATAAGGTAATCTTTTTAATTACAAGTTTAAATTTTTTAGTGCTTTTATTACTCCGAAAGTTCTAACCCGCCACATTTATAGATCGCTATAAAAACTTACGCGAAACTCGTGATACGCTTTACTGCCATGCCACAATATACAGTAGTATATATGCAATATAGTAAGATGCTTGCATTTTAATAGTTATCAACATTTCATTATTTATTAAAAATAAAATATTTAACGTAAATTTAGGCGTAAAATGTTCTCAAAATCTATAAAAAAAATTCGTTTGTTTGCAGTTTGCCAAGAATAAATAGAGCAATTCGATATAGTCGTATCTTACATTTGCTTCAGCACCAAAAATAAAACGGTTAATCAACGTTCCTTTTTCCCGCGCCGAGAAAGTGTTGTATGTTGCATTAATGAATCCATAAATCATAACGGGAAAGAAGAATGGTAGAAGGTCGGAATCTGAGTGACGTCCGTCCAGAAAACTCGTTGCCGTTGTGATCTTGCCCATCCGTGAAGATCCGTGAAGAGGTAACTTGAAAGGCCAAAAGGATCGGGAAACGAAGGGGGTTCTGCTTCTTCTGTAAGACGTTGACGCAGCTCCCGTGGGGCACTTTTGCGGATGAAGACCACCCTATCTTATACTTGACGTAGTAAGAAACGTTTTGCTTTATCCTCTTATTTTCTTTTGCGCTTTTCGTTTTCCTTTTTTATATTCTTTTATCTCTTCTCCAATTCTTCTCAGATTCTCCTTTGTGTTTCCCATATTAATGTGATACCTAGTAACAAACAACAAACATCGCATAATATCCATCATCCAGTCAGATAATATATTAGCTTTTATGTTTATTTTCTGTTGACACACATTAAAGTGCTCTTCTGCCGTCGTTTTAGATCCTTTCTTAAATTAGTAAAAAAGAATGTTTCTGTGGACAGCAATATTAAACTATAAAACATCGTAACGTAGTTTAGGAGGCGCGAGAGATTCCGCAAAAGGCGATCATTTGTCAAAGTGAAGTGGATGCGAACGTGAACATGTTATCACAGCTCTACCGAGGTAATCTATCGCGCGTCTCTTACAAGAAAGAGATTTTTAGGAGAACGAGATCGTCATAGGGCAATAAGAAGCTGCTAGAGATTAAACGTAACAACATAGCTTTAAAATAATATGAGTATATATATATATATATATATATATATATATATATATATATATATATATACACATATCAACGTTAATTATTTTATGACACTCAGACAAAAATCTATCCTACAACAGTCGTTTTTGTAGATGCATAAGGACTTTGAGAATCCTTGATAAGTCGACATAGTCCAAATACTCATAACGTGAGTGACACGTGGTTGCGCCATTTTAATTAAAAAGATATGTTTTCAGGGAGCTCTGTGTGTGAGTGTTTATGTGTATGTCTGTGTGTTTGCGACTTGTGAAGCCACCTATCCATATATATAGGCATAGGCGGAGACGAGGGGTTGGCAGGCAGTCCAAAGCATTGAAGGGGGTTGGATCGTGATGGCAGGTGGTGGCGAGGGAAGAGGAAGTTGCGATTCCATCTGCCAGCCTGTCATTCTGATACTACGTACAATGTCGGCAGTTGGCGGAGACGATCAATACATTGCAATCTATATAAAATGGCTGCAGTATTTGGAGCGCCGTGCATAAAACGCTTACTCTCGTGGAGACGAGAAATGAATATCGCATAGGACGACAAATTAAACAAGTATCCATTGTAAATTCCGCAAATGGGAGTAATTTTTTTCTCTTTATTATCGCATATCTGCAAAAATTATAGTAGTTATCCGCTGCAAAGCGACCTCGTTATTAGTAAACATGCGCGTATTTTAAACGTATTCTACACACACATTTCACATTTAAATATTGAAATATTATTACTATTTGCTTATAAATTATTTTATTATTTATCTTTTCTTAAAGTGACCTCAACATTTAACGGGAAAACCATACATAGGACACAATGGTTCTTGTGCAATCGGCATATTTTGTATTATGGTAATAGTGAAAAAACAAAACATATGAACGATCAACATGCCATGTACATTTAATTTTTATCATTAAATTACACTGAAGAAAAATGTGTTTTTCAGATTTAAAAAACCTACGACATACTTAGATTGCAATTTGATAAATAGATTACATATGTATACAAAAGAATGATCGCGTAATATCAAAACAACTACATGGTTAATATGTTTAACTAAAGATTTAATCATTTCATAGATTAAAAAGAAACAATAACTTGTTTTATTAAAGTGACATGAAAAACTACAGTTATCTATACAGAAAATAATGCTTAAAAACATTTGCAGTGAAACATTAATTAGAAAAATCCGATAACATTGTATTAAGATTAGTATAATAAAAATTTTGATAAATTCTCTGCGAAGGAACAAGGGAAAGCATTCATTCATCTGAGAAATAAATCTCCCGGAAAAATAAAAATATCTTAATTGACCTGCAGATATAATGTAGTTTTTAAAAATGCATTAAACAGAACAGGCAATATAAGTGACACCCTAAATTTAATGGAAAATCTATATAGGAAGATGGTTGATTATGAGATATTCTTTATAATATTTTATTTTACATATATTATATAAAAAATGAAAAATTAAAATGTATGAACAAGAAATATACAACGCGTGTGAACGTTTGATTTTTATTATTAAATTATTATCTTATCACAAAAATTACCATAAAAATGTTATTCTTAAATTAATAATGTCAATCATGTTGCTTAGAATTACAAATCCGAAAATTATAACAAAAACAAAACATTCAAATATTTTTATGTTATAAAAGTATAAGTGCATTCAATGAAATTTTAAATATATTTAAATTTTCAAAATTGTTTAAAACATTCTAAGAAATCATTTGCAGCATAAACAAATAAATATTGAATCTTTTTCTTCTCCGAAATGTAAAATAGTTTAGTTTGCAAATTTAATCCTGTGTTCAAATTAATTTACCTAATCTCATTTAGAGAGAAAAGTTTAAATTTTTTGCGCAATATAATTAATTGTAAACTGTTCTTTCACTCTGAGACTGCTGTAGAAGAAAGGAGCATTACAAATTGCTGCAGCAGCGTCATCTTTTGCATACGCTGTGACACTATTTTGCAAAGACCACCTACAGATGGCAGCAATTATGTATTTCACTCCTTTTTTAGTTAAAGAATTAAAATCCATTGCTTTAAAAAACCTGGAGAAAGATCCACCCTTTCATTCATTTATTCACTCTTAATATATATCCAAATATATATTCCATTCTGGTAAATTTTACATTACACAGTTTTAATAATTGAAAGCAAAATGTACGAGATAATAATGTCAATTTTATAAAAAGTTCACTGTTGTTTTAAAAATTCTTCCAAAATTTTAACTAAAAATTTTTATGCGTCTATAAATTCACCTTTTCAGTTTCATGATAAAAAATTCTCTTATAAAATTTAATACATCTTATCTCACCACCGATTTTATATCACAACACTCATTATCACAATATGTTTACAAATATGCACAAAAGTGCGCGTCAAACACGCTATTGTTTTTCAATCACTAATTTGTTACGATTATAGCACTCACCAGGGTTGGTGTACCACGGCAAAGTCAATATGGCCGAGCCATATCGCGCATAGAAGTAACACGTGATCATACAATTAATTGCTTCGGCCAATAAAAGTTGGCGGTGAAGCGGGAAAGAGAAAAGGAAGAAGCACGCATTCCACGGCGCGAGACGTAAACCGGCCGCGGCGCGGCGGTGCGACTGTACAGGAGGCAGGCCAAAGCGAAACTAACTCAGCTTGCGTGCAATAAAGGAGATCATTTTGAATCTGTGCCGCTGAAATTTATGGCCTCCCACCAGGAGAGTTCCGGCCGTTAGTACCGCGTAGTAAAAACTGGCTATTAATTTTATGTTTGGTAGTTGGGCGGCAGGCAAGCGTTCCCTGCAGTCTCTATTTTCTATAAGGTCAGAAAAGTATAATACCTTTATCTTTAAATAATATCGACGCTAATTATGTGTAAACACAAAGTTATTTGATCAGTGATCATCGTTAATCCTAATAACGCGGTCTACAAAGACAGTACATTAGGATACGTGTTTCGAGAGATAAAATTTTTATCTTTTACTTCGACTTTAGTTTTTAATGAAAATGTCCCAAAAAATATCTTTCAACTTTTGCAAATGGAAAGAAGAGATCGAGCTTTAATAATTATTTTAAGTATATACCTGATTTTTTCCGTGGAATTTTACTGTGAGATTCCGTCGCGAGAGCAGGCACGGTCCTCTTCGTGGTGCGCTCCAGGTGATGTTGACCGTTCGCCGATCAGCGATGTTATGGTGCAGGAAAACGCCGAGGGGTAGTATTGCGGGGGAATGATTTATGACTTCGGGGACCAGGTAGGGCGCCATTCAGCACCAGGCTCGTTCTCTTCTTCCGCCACCTCTCCGACGCTCCCTCTCTTAGCCCGGTGACTTGCGATGTCAATGCGTTTTCAGTTGGCCTATTTACGCAATAGGCATAAGACGAATTTCACGATCCTCGCGGATGAAACAGTGATTAAAATAAATCACGTCAAACTTCTTGTGTTTTTGTGATGTGCAGCGCAGTTCGTAAATCGATTGTCCATATTTGATTTTTGTGATGACGGGAAAACTACGGTAAATATTGCTATTCTATTCATAATATATCTCATAACAGATTTAATCATTTTATTCTCGATATGTATAGACCCTTTACAATTAAAATAAATTTTTATAATGAATATACAAATAATTTGTCAAATAAATCTAAAAAAAAATGATTTCTGATGCTAATGTATTTAGTATCTAATAATTGATGTACGTGAAAATTATTATATTTTGAGAATACTAGAAAATTTTAAAAACAAATAGCATTGACATATGCAGCCCAAACATTTTTCAAGGCAAATTTCTGTTTTCATTTTGATGTGAGAGATGTGACAAAGTGCTAAATTGTAATATTTGCGCAGTAACTGATGTTCGCATAGATAATACATAGTATATCGTGAGACAAAATGGAGATTTTTTTAACCAAGATATCAAATTCGATTGACAATAGTGTAGAACTTTGTGCGCGAGCATTCGGGCAAAATGACAGCCGGATATCGCGTTTCTGTATAGCGAAGGACTGGCAGGAAATTATCCCGCGGAAGGTCGCGGCACGGCGCGGCGGCGCGGCGGCGCGCACAGTCTGCAATAGTCGAGTACACGCGTTGTAATTGATGTAACTTAATTTGTAACATGCGGCATGCGAGATGCTAGTCGCGCTACTCGCGCTGGCTCCGAGAAGTCAAAAAAGAATGAAGAAATGCTCGCGGTAGCTCGTATAAGTGCCGCGCGCACGCACATGGAAGGAGGCTAGGCTGTACGCGCGAGCAGCGCAATGGAATAATGGTCAGCCCTATGGGCAACTTTTTCACTTTGCATGTAATAACTGGCAAAGGGCCGGCAAGAGTGAAGGAGGGGAGGTGAGAGAGGCGAAATGCCGCCTATGCGCGCGGAGGAGCAGTTTAATAAAATCTCGTTGGCCTAATGACGAGAGCAGAGCTCCGGTAGTCGTCGGGTGAGACAGGGGCGACGATGGGGAACGAGGAATGGACGGAGACGGTAGCAGACCGTCGTGATGGTAGCTGGGTAAGGGGAGTGGGACGGGGAGAGGGCGGGAGGGAGGCAGCCTGGCGGTGAGAAATAAGAGGGGTTGGGACGAAAGAGAGATATCGTCCGTGTCGCATACGATGCTGCCGTGTAGCTGATGTCTTCGGCCGAAGCTTCGCAACCGGCTGTTTTTATGCAAAGATGTTCATCAGCGCTTTGATCTTTACCGACGAGATACGCTTGTAATTTCAAATGTACGACGATATGACGCGAGATTGCAATAAACGCGAGAAACAAGAAAATGGGAAAAATGAGAATTCCTGGAAAATTAGAAAGTGCATGTTTGTTAATAGCTCAGTTAAGTTAATAGCTCAACTTTCATCAATTTTTAATTATATTATTATTTTTGTTATTTTTTTATAAAATTGAATAATACTTGCAGCATTCTATATTTATTGCAAGTACTATTATTTATTGCTATTTACTCGGACGGTAATTTAAATATTGAGAAATGATCGTTGGGTTATTTCTAAACTTTTCTTCGGTTCAAGTTCTTCGATGCTCCATCATCCGTCTTTTCTTTACGCTTGTTGCCCCATTTCCATGATTTTTCTTAACGATTTAAAAGAAAAATTTTAACATCGTATGTCGACCCGGTACGTTGCATTGAAATTGTTAGGGAAACGAAAAAAGCTAGAGGGAAAAGAGGGAAAAGACAGACGCGGAGTCAAGGCACAGCAGCAGCTACCCCGAACGATCATCAATCATCAAGAGCGAGACAATCGAATAGTGCAGCCAACCGGTGAACAGCTGTCGCTTCGGTGGGCTCTAACCGTACACGTTACACGTTGCTACTGCAATTTCACAAAAAAAAGTCAAAGGACACTGTAGAAAATCAATCGCATAAATAATATTATTGTTATGCATTTAAAATATGAAAAAAAAATTTATTGTTAGTTTAGTTATTTATAAAATAAATACAGCACGTAGCAGACATCCGTTATAACACAATAAAAAATACATAGAGAAAATATAAAGTAAATATAAAGTAAAACGTTTCATATATATTATTCTAAAAATAGCAATGTATCAAATAACGATAGAAACATACGAAGACAGGCTACGAAAAACAATATGATTGTATGAAAGATTAAAAACTCACTCATTTTGCCTTTCAATCTTTTATAATTTATTTTCCGCTGCGCTTCATACGTCGAGCATTATATATCTCAACGAGCTCGATCCTCCTCGCATCGCATCACATCATATCAGAACGCTACCATCACATGCCGACATCCTCCCTACGTGTTCCTATATTGCCTGCTACGTTTCATAAATAACTCTCATATTGCAAAAAGTACAATTTCAATATTAGAACCGATGGGCATGCCAATATTGCTCGTTGTATGATAGATAGACGAGCTATATTGTCTTTATAAAAAGCTAGTCGTTCCTTTGAAAAATATGTACTGAATATAGCTTTAAGGAACATTTATTCGAAATAGCGTGAATATCGAGTTATATTTGTTTACGTGTCTCGTATATTAAAATACAATTTTTATATCTTGAAAGTTTAATTTATACACTTCTTGTGATGCAATAGAAAGTATCCATCTATTTTTTAAAAGTGCTAGTACATTAAAACTTTTACATTGTAGACATGTTACTTTTTTCTATTTTATATACATTCAATATATTGCACGGTAAAATTCAATACATTTCTAATTTTTTATGTAAGAGTAGAAACACTCTTATATAAATTAAATAATTATTTAGATAAATTTAGTAATTAGAGTTTAGTGTTCGAATAATTTGAAGAAATAAGGAGGAGATAAGAAAGCCTATATTCAATATCTATTTAGATATATAAGTATTTTCTATTTGATACAGCTAACACACTTATCTGAGAAAACTGACAGAATTGATAGTGTTAATTTACGCTAAATAGGAAAATTTGAACCTAAAATTTGATTAATTTACTGAACCTAACGTTAGTAAGGTAGTTTGCTGCAGAGGAATTTCGTTTACCGACGCGAGATGCGTCGTCTTAAAGCACATTTATAGACGGTAGATGGAACCGAGGAAAATATTTTTCCACATCAGTTACTTTTCCAAAGTGAGAGTATGTCTGCAAATACAGAAATAATGTTAAATTGTGCTTATTTTATACCATATTATTATGTAATTGCATTGTTCATGTAAATTCGGATCTATAGATAAACCTAAATCTCACATTTTCTCTAGCCATTTAATTAATTTATTCATGTAATTAATCCGCAAATGCAAATTAATTAGCTTTTGATAATCCCCTGATTATTTATACAAAACAATTAATCAATACATTATCCCAGAATTACAACTCTAGACGTAGACATATATATTTTGAAACAATATTGGACTTTTATATTAAATTTTCACCGAGCATATTAATAACAAATCTTATTTTTTTTTAATGTAATTATATTTAATATGACATTACAAATTAAAAGCAAAATATTATAATATTAAACATTAATTTAACTTAACGCTTAACATTATTTAGTTCATTTTTATTTTTTTTATTTAATTTATTTTTTGTTTTAGTCTTTTTTATTTTAATTTATTTTTTTTATGATTAAAATAATCAAAAAGTTTTAATGTACTGATTGAAATATTTAACTTTTTGAACATTTTTCATTATATTCTTTAATAATAAAAAATTTCTATAATTAATAAGTAATTAGAAATGTTATTATTAATGTGCAATTTCATTGCAATCACACATTTATTGAAACTTTTTATACTAATAGTTTGCAGTGGATAGGGAAAAACCACCGCTTCAGGGTTGATATCTCCTTAACACGATTATCAGCGAAGGCGTAGACATAGCCAGTCAAAAGTAGCAAGCAGAGACGGGAGGGTTGTCACCCTTGTCTCTCTCTGAACAGCGTGAGATGCCAGCCATCTTGAATGATATATGGCGCCGGTTACGAGGTCGACTGAGCGGCGATCACTCAACGCTAAGCTCCGCGGCTTTTGAGGACATACGTCGTCGAGCCTCCCGTTCTGTCCATTCCCTCCTGGCTTTCTATCCGTTGCGATTTACACTAATTATTACGAGATACAGACTTATCTTTCTTATCATGATGTATATTTAA